AACACGCCGAATAAATACTAATTCAGAAGTCAAACAACAAGCGTTATTCATTTGCGGTTTTGCAGCTGAGGATGGTGGTTCGGTAAAACCATCGAAACTAGTCCTGTGAAAATTTTGTAAATATAACGCTGATTTTTGTTGTTTGACTTCTGAATTAATTGTTTAGAACTCAGACAAATTTGAAATCATCCTCCTCATTGCCGCTTATAATATGCTACCATGGAAAAATATGGTAAACCCATCATGGCAGATATCCGCCCCTTCCAGCTTGTGTACTCTATGCTCAAAATGATCCCCGACAATCATTCACGCCGTTCGGAAAGACAGAAGCAATTCCCTGGCACTCTCCAGTGGATTCCTCCGAGATGAGTCCACAATGCGGACCACCAGATGGTCCTTGTCCGTACCACAATAACTCATCGGAGCGGAAAGAGCCGAGGCTCCTTCCTCTTTTTCGCGGAGCTCCAATTCCTCCAGCCTGCCATTGATTTCCTGAAGAATAATGAGCAATGGTTATACGTCGGTCTGTCGGTCATCGTAAATCCTCCAGGGAATGTTTCGGATTTCTTTCTCTTCCAGCTTCAGGTGGTCCATTTGTGGAGAGCGCGTCACTTGACCACAGACAGCAATAGACGGAATGGGTCTGTTGCTTTTTCTTTTCAAGGACGAATTTATTAGTGACTAATAAGATGAGTGGGGAAAGGCAAAAATAGGAAGCTTCTCGTGGGCATCTTAGGGAAAGTTGTGGTTTTAACAGAGTGTGCACAGTTAACGATGACTTTTGGATAAATATGAAAACCTACATAATTTGCATAGCGCATTATAGATTTCTAGGATTAAGTGCACAGAAAACCTTAAATTACATAAAATAGTATCCTCACTTCTTAACCTTCAATATAGTTGTAGGAAGAAATGTCACCAGAGAAAAGAAAATGGAAATAATGGCACCGAAATAAAAGGAAACGGAAAATAAGGCTCCGTTCCAGGCGGTGCTATAAATGTCATAACTGGTTTAATCGGAACTTTGTGGCTAAATAACCAAACCACGCTACGTCACAAAAACTAGTTTAGGAGTTTTGGCATAAAGGTCGAAGTTTTAAACTTTATATCGACTTGCCATAAGAGTCGACCAATGAGAGCGTACGCGCGAAACCTATTGAGCAGAAAAACAGAGAGGGAAAGCCGTAAACACATCTACTCAAATTTAGTTTCTCTAATTGGCTACGGCTTAGACTCTCTCTCGCAAGTGTGAATGGAACCCCTGCATTTTATGCCTTATAACTATGCTTCTATGACATTTATTCTCTGAATGGTGCCTACGATACCATTATTTTGAAGTAGGGGAAACAAGACAAGTCACCAGTTTGAAAGAAAAAATTACCCTACAACAAATTTCGGTTTAATAATAAATCCTTTGTAGAGTTGACTTCAGGATGATAATTCAACTGCTAGTCCATCCGAAAGTAGAAGCAGAGGAGTGTCAAATGGGTAATTGGTATAGTCCTTTGATACAGACCACCACCATCGAATAGCTAAGATTTGAGCGGCGCTGAAATGAAATACTTACGGTTAAGCGATCTTCGAATAAGACCCGTGTGGACCCGCATCAGGAAGTGGTATCTTCAAACTGAAGATTTCCATTGCTTCCAGTAGTAGTTGGTAGACTGTTTTCACGTGATTCTAGTATCACGTTGGCACATCACAGATCTTATATTTAGGAGTAATATTCGTGATATTGGTCTAGTATTTTTAATGCTATTTATCTGGTGAAATATTGAAATATGGGATTTTAATCGAATTTTCTAATTTCATAGGCAAAGTAAAGCTTAACATGTATTATACCTGAGTTCGAGGGAAATAACAGCTGTGGGATGCAGTTTCTTTCTGTAACAATTTACAGTTTCAAAAGTGAGTAACACAAGACAGTTTCTCTGCCTTGTATTTATTTATATTTGAAACTCATTATAAAAGTTTCGAAGCTGATTTTTCATAAAAGCTGTCTGTTTTCAACTATCGTTGACAGTAATTTTATACTACTTGTCTGACATTTTAAGCTGCACTATAAATAATTTTATTTAAAAATAAAACGATTTATTTTAATATTAATATACATTGAAAAATCTTAAATAAATGAATAGCATTTATAAAAATTGAAGATTGCGCCAACCGATGTATAACTTCACAAAGGTTGTATGTAGAATAAATGATAAAAAAAATTAACTTTTTTTTTTAAATGAGCTCAGTCCTAAAACGTTTTAGTCAGACTGTGTACATCTGATACCGCCCAGTGGCGAAGTGGCTGCCGCGCAGCTGCATCACAGGTCCGGGGTTCGATCCCCGGGCTGGGCAAGGTTGACTCAGCCTTTCACCCCTTAGTGGGTCGATAAAATGAGTGTTAAGTCAGCTTGGGGACTAAACACCCGGTGTCCTGCGACAAGCTGACCATTTGCCCAGGGCATATGCTGATGCATTCCGGGGCCCAAAGGTCGAGAAAGCAAGAAAAGGGCACTGCAGGTCGTGCCCCCATACAATGCTTCTTGTATGAGCAGGTACAAGAGGTAGAGGTCTTGTATGAATAGGTACAGGTCACACTTCTTGTATGAGCAACATACATTTACAAACATATATGCCTTCTCTCGCATTCAAACCCAGACCCGTCGGTATGGCAGTTACAATCACTAACCCATATCCCGGTTAGTTGGCACTACGCCTGCAATTTTTACTAACAAGCAGCTTTTGTTTTGTGAAATGTTCAAAATGTCTTACTTATTTTGTTATTTTTGAAAGATAAGCGAAATTGGATGTCATAATGAACATTTCTTATCGTTTCCGAAATCAAAACTATTTTCAAACTAATTTGTACTATACAAATAAAATAATTTTAAATACACAACGTATTTTCTAAAAGAAAATTTAAACTTAAACGAGATAAATATGTCAAAATATGCAAAAAGTCCAGAATCAAAGAAAATTTTACAAAAATGAATGCGAATAGCACATAAGATTTAAATATATATATTAGTTTTAAAGAAGAATGAGAAGTAAAATGACAGCTATTTAACAGCTATATAAATCTCTCTTTTATACCTTAGAGAAAGATCAGTTTAAGATAACTCAAATAACACGCCGAAGAACAAATGTTGGAGACACTGAAGCAACAAGAATCAGCGAAAGTTGCATAAAATTACAGGACTACTTTCGAAGATTTGCATGGAACTTTCTTCTTTAGCTGCAGAAAATCCACGCTAATACGACAATAGTAGATCAGAAAAACAAATTAAACGGCGCCATCTATTAGCAAAAACTGATAACGAGCATGCAATAAATTCCTTAAAAGGTTAAAGTAAAGACGGATTAGAATTGGTATCATTAATTAGAACTAGGCGATTTTATGAATGTGAAACGTCTCTATAAAAAAATTTCATTCACCAACTGATGTTTTTGTATAATTTTGGCTGCATGAAAATGAAAGATGTGATTTTTGACCAGCAATGTTGGGTAATAGAATATTTATGTGTTTTTTTTCCCTCTTAACCTATGTCTCAGGCTCCTCAGTGTAAAATTTCAAATGGCAAGGAATATTATATCTACCCCAGAAGTTTATATCCGGAATATGTCTTTAGTATGGAACTGCGAAGTTATTGATATTGAAAAAAATGGTAGGAATGTTAAACGCCTGTAAAATATGTGCAGTTTTATAGATTATTGAAGGAAAGAAAGGAAGACTACAGAATTCTTAGAATCTCTCAAAACGAGAGACCATACTTTTACTACAGATTACTTAGATGAAAACATTTTAAACCATTTGGTCAATGAATTTCAGGCGGAAAGCTTTTGTCACCTGCAACTGCTGTTAAGTAGCTCGATTTTTGATCAAAAGACAATTTTGAAAAACAAACTCGAACAGCACGGAAGAGGAAAGAAAAAAGAAGCCAACTTTTACATAACTAATCGAATGACAGGATTTCAAGTGTTTCATCACACAGGCAAACAGGTGAAGGTTAAGGATATACAGCAGTGTTGAAATTAGATATATTTCGTGTAATCGAGATTCCGAGGAAGGAAAAGGAATTGGATGTGTCAAGTTCAAAAGTGAACTAAATGACAGGATCAACGGAATTCAATGACAGACTTTATTTCTACGCATATTAAGGAGAACTTGCCTTATCACTCTCTATCTATCTGTCTATCAAGCTCTTTTTTCCCTGCGTGGGAAAAAAGAGCTGAATAAATTTCCAGCATTTTTTCCCAAATTTGTCTTCTTGTATGAGCTATTATTTAACTGGTTAAAGTGCCAATTTCTTCCTATTAATCTGTAATGCGTATTTATTAAGAAGACCTTCATGAACCTGTATCGCGCACCAATAGAAAATTAGTTTAAAAGAAATTGACAAATTAAATGCTTATAGATTGAAAAGTAATTGTTTTGATCAGGAAGCATTTAGAACTATTTTAAAGAGATGTATCCCGTTACAGTCTTCAAGTTTACAAACCTTCTCCTTTCGCTTGTTTTCGTGAGGGCTCTTGACGTCTATCGAGCAAAGTGGTCGGTAATTAGTAGAAAAAAAAATAGCTTTCTGTGTGCCTGAACAAGTCTGGACGATTCAGTGCATCGTAATAGCTGTGTCAATTGTTGATATAGATAAGCTTATATGTTTCGGAAGAACATGAGTATAGCATTCATACCTGTCGTATTACGACAGACTCATGCACAGAATGCCTGTAGTTTACAAGAGTAAACTACAGGCAAGACAAGGGTAAACTAGACAAGTAAAATTCAAGATTCTAGAAAAGTAAAATTCTAGGCAAGATTCAAACAAGTAAAATTCAAACAAGTAAAATTCTAGACAAGTAAAATTCACTTTACAAGGGTAAACGACAGGCAAGACAAGGGTAAACTAGAGGAGTTTTTTCAAATATTAAAACTCTCGTTCCTCGAAAACTTTAAAAATGCTTTCCTCTTTTAGGCTATGAAAGTAAAGAGAAAGTTGTGGACTGACCTGGCACTCTGAGGTCCGACAGTTTCTACAAGATAAGATGAAGTAGCATTGAGGTCTTCATCTTTTATGGCTTCTGATTCCATTCCCAGCGCACCCGTGCATTCATCTGAAAGAATAATAAGAAAGGAATCAATAAAACATCAAATATACAAATAACATGAAAAATTCAGCATTCAAATAATAACGCGTAAAAAATGCTCATATGCTTTCTTCAGCAATTCTAGAAAGCAAAACAGTGAATGTTTTTTCAATACATTACTTTACTCAGGATTCGATTAACACAGATTGTCCCAAATAAAAATATAGTCAACTCTCGATTAATTGGGGTAACAATTAACCAGGAATGACATACAGATAACTATTCAATATCACATTTTAACCGAAGGTAGTTAAGAAAAGCATAGGAAAAAAGGAAAGACCCGTGTTATTATTAAAGCAGATACCTATATTAATAACTTAGCTGAATTTTCAAACATTTTAATCTAGAGAACATTTGGTGAAGCAGAATTCAAATTCTCTCTCTCTCTCTTCTGAGCGTACGCATGCAATCACTTTCTTTTTCTTTCTTTCTATCTCTATCCTGTCTATTGTTTTCCCCTCACTTCACAACTCACATGTTGTTTGTTTTTGTTTATATTCTATTTGTATTTAATAACATACTTTCATGAATTATTAGTCAGTCTCCCAAGCGCCATATCCACCTGCGAAAAATTTATAAGAATCTTACTAACTATAGTTTGACAAAAAGAATATGTCGAAAGCAAAACAAAACAGGTGAAAGCTTTCAAATTTTATATTACGTCCTAGAAAGCAGTCTTTTCAGTTATACATATATGATTCGAGAGCCGTTCCCAGGGTATTTGGGCTAACTCCCAGTCGGGCTAAAAATATTAAAATTAAGCATATCTTAAGATTTTCCGGTGGACAGTCTCGCGCGCTGGAGATATAAGTGTTTTATTCCCACTGCGCGCTTTGAAATCTTTAAGTTTTTTAATCAAAAATTCTTTAAAGTTTTACAAAATATGAAATAGATAATAATCGAAATTCGGGCTTCCAGGTATTCACATTGAGGTGAAGGATTACGTTATTCAGAATTGGATGCCTTTAATTCTCCATTATTTAGTTTCTTTAAATGTAATGCAATGAGATAATATTTGGTGGCAATAATTTTAAAAAATGATTCAACGTTTTTAGTGATTCGACTCAAAATGCCGTTTCGAGACTAACAGCTCTGGGCTAACGTGTAAAATCGGTATGACATGAATATATCTGCAGGATCCTTATTTCGAAGGCAACTAAAACCTTCTTCTGCAGCTGCAGGGAAAAAAATGGTGAAGAGAAATACGCGTCTACACGAAAACAGACAAAACATTTGAGAAGATTCTTTCTGATTGACAGAAAACAAAACCACTGACAACGTCTGTTGACAAAAACAAGACAAAAACAACTATAAAATAAATTCATGAATCATTGTGGTATCTATGGAAATATAATACTAAGTGTGGTAATGTTAATTATTTTTATTGTATTTCTCTAACCATTCATCACGTAAATTTTAGACTTATAAGTGTCGGGCCGCAAAATTACAAAAGTAAAATCTGAGCCTCGAAACTTCTGTTTTTCCGACAATCAGCTCCTGCATTATTTTTTGTGTTGCGTTAAAATTATAACTTTAATTACAAATGACTGCAAAAATTTTAGATGAGTAAAAACATATCTTTGTAGTGTACTTTTCGTTTTTTCGGTGCAAGAAATATAAAAAATTAACTTTGCTCTTGCCAGGGTTCGAACTACGAATCTTCCACTTGCTAGTTGTAAGGTTTAACCAATTACACCAAGAAAGTACGGAAGGATGAATATAATAATTCCGCATAATTTTATTCCATTTTAAGTATGACTAAGGAGAGGCATGAAACTTTATCGACCAAATTTCCATGGTGAAGGCTTATCGTTCTCCACAGTTCTTAATTTAGGCGACACACTACAGATTATTAAGTTTTAAGGCCAGAAAATATAACACCTAAACTATGCTCTCTCCATAATAAGAAATATATATCTTATAACTGCCAGCTTGAGCTTGGTAACCGTACATCATGAGAATGTGCAGGGGGGAAATGCGATAATTACTGCATATTTCAGAGGGTAGCCGAGAATTTTCAAGAATTTTTGCTTTTGTTGCTGAAGCTGGATGTCGGATTATACACAAGTTCAAAACGATTTACAAATAAACTGTTTCAAAAAAATGCATAATTAAAAATACAGTAAACCCTCATTAACATAAATATCAAGGGACCGAAAAATTAAGGGTTCGTGTATAAGGTATTTCTCCCGCCTTCATAACGTGGCTTCGTGGTGCGGTGGTCTGCACCCTGAGCGCATATTTCAGAGGTCCTCGGTTCGATTCCCGGCGAAGGCGTTGCTAATGTTTCATCTCCCCGGCTTTTCCAATTAATCAAATGTCTCTACGGTGACGCCCGAACTAAAAGGGTGTTGGATGATGATTCCCCTCACCCAGGATTTTATGATTGGGTCCCCTTAAACCCCAGTCGCCCTTTAAAAGGGGGAGTATATAAGGTATTTCTCCCGCCTTCTTAATGTGCCTTCGTGGTGCGGTGGTCTGCACGCTGGGCGCGTATTCCAGAGGTCCGCGGTTCGATTCCCGTCGAAGGTGTTGCTAAGTTTTCATCTTTCCGGCTTTTCCAATTAACTTAATGTGTGTACACGTGTTACAAAAATTCGTGCGAACGGGAGGGGGGCTCAAATTTTATTTTCTGAATAGTTTTTCTGCAGATTAACCATTTACAATATATAGGTACACGCGCAAGTATAATGATGTATTAAGTATGTATATACGTATATACTGTTGAATACGTAACTACGATAGTGTATTATGTATATAGAATACACAACAGAACTACATTAGTTACTGTAATGCAACTTTGCGGAAGTTGTACTCACTGATCATTTTGTGTTAAAAAATTCCTGTATAACTAAATTAAATGTAAATTTTCATTTGAAAACTCTCCTAAAACAGCTGTAAACAATTTATAATAAAAAGAAAAGGGGGGAGACACTAGCAGCCTGAACACGGAATATTATATGGTTGCATTTCAAATATAACAGTAATACTAATGCACGTTTTCTAAGCCTCTAGCAAAGAGAGAAAAAAAAAATTTTTTTTTAGAGCGAAGATATACGACTATCATCCTTTTCGATCAGAATATCATTGAAGTTACTGATGATATCCGAATTAAATTACTCGTATTCCAACTTTCTAGAACCAATTTATTTCAAGATTTTCCACCCACAACAAACAGCCTTCGACGATAGAAGTAATGTAAGCGGTGATAAAAGTTCTTTAAAATTTTTCTTCCCCTCCTCTTACATTTCTAAAGACGATTGCTTACATTAGATGGAGGAAATTGCCTGTCCAATTTTTATCACGGCAGATATAGTTGTGCTTCAAAGAGAGCTTTCTAACAAGAAATTTTTATTTATTTATTTATTCCTCAAGAAACGCTAGAAAGAATACAAAAGATCTATTTTTGTATCAATGAACGCAAAGATGGAAAGAATTTCTTTCAGAAACGATCGTTCCCAATTTTTAATAATTTTGACGATAGAGAAAGACCTTTCCATTCTTCGCTTTATATTACCTTACGTTACATTACGCTACCTTTAATCATACACCAGACGTAGCGAATTGAAACTACTGAATCTTTTGACAGAATATTTCAATTTATCTTTTCTGACAAATTATAAAGACTGTTGCCAGTCCTGGAGCAAAAATCTCAATATTTTTTTTAATTTATCTTTCAACTCATAAAATTACGAAGCGGATTCAGAAAACATTTGATCATTGCAGGTAAAGAAAATTTTCTTGAGTAACGTATTGCAATATAATATGATGCAGTTACATCTTACTTCTGTTCACAATAATCGTCCAATTTCAGTTCGTCGTTGTATAAGGTATTTCCCCCGCCGTCTTAGCATGCCTTCGTGGTGTAATGGCCAGTACGCTTGGGGCGTATTCGAGAGGTGCGAGGTTCGAGTCCCGGCGAGGGGAATGCTCATTTTAATGACTCCTGCTTCAAGAAAAAATCCCAATGACTCTACAGTTGTTTGAATATTCAACTAAACTTTCAATTCCTTTTCGATTAGGTCCTTGATCACATCGTCATCGTTCAAACACTGTTGGCACATATTCTCACTGGCAAATTGTTATTCATCGAGATATTAAATGCCGTAGAATTGAGATTATTAATACGCATTTACAAAACTGCATCTTTGATCATGGAATTGTGGAACCACTGTTTGCACTGGCAAATTATTTGTCCAGACATTAACTCCTGTGCAGTTCCTACGAATGTGGATGTGCATTTAGAAATCTTTTTGATCATGGAGCCATGGTAGATCTGTTGTTTGTAACTATCTCCTTGACAAATTGTTATTCCTCTAAAAGATATTAACGTCTCCTAAAGTAATTTAGGAGTGGCTAGGTCCAGTTACTTAAATAATTTCATGATTAACTCCAGTACAATTATTACCTCATATTTCAAATCTGGAGCAAGTTTCCAGCTAAGGCGTCATGTTTCTATGTTGCTCAATGCTTTTCATATAGTTATTACAATAAAATTGTTCACATAAATGAATGAAAATATCTCGAATGTGATTTCAAATAAATGAAATCACATTCTAGATATACACTTCCACTAACAAAAAGTTTTGAATGGCACAAATATTCGTGTTTTTGTATATTTAAATTAAATATATATGTGTGTGTGTGTTAAAACTGCGTTATGATTGAAATAAGATGACTTGGTAGAAGCAAATCGGAACGGATTGGCGGTGGTTCTCTGCATCATAACTTGTAGACAACTTGATTGCGTAGTTAGAACGATGGGATGCATAAACCAAAAAACTTCCAGATATGGCCGTTTCGAAACATAATTTTATTGCAGGACAATTCACATCAGGTCATCTTTCTCTAGATAAGATAATTTTTCAATCGTAGTTTAATACAATACTTTCCATGTACACTTGTTTTAACCGTGTACATGGACGTCATCTAATTAGGCAAGTAAGCAGCAGCGTGGATGAGGAGCG